CCTTGTTTTGTAACTACAAGGCTAATCAAAATACGATAAAGATGGATGCTGAACAAGATGCCATGTGCGTAATGCAACTATAGGGAAGTACAGGTGGCTGTGGTAGCTGCTTATATGATAACCACTAAAAAGCTGTAATTTCCTGTTTGTACTGTCTGCTTCCTGGCTTACTCTTACTATTTTTGTAGCTAATGTTTCCCTACTTCTGTGGAGAACCTAAATTCCTATTGCCACATCCCTGAAGTTACAGGCGGTCACTTGAATCTGACGCAGATCACTGACTGTCAAAAGTGGTGCTATTGCCCTGCTTTCCACGTTTGCCTACTTGTTTGTTCTCTGCGCTGGCAGTAGGGTTTGTCTGATTAAGGACCTACTCTAGCTGGAGGCAGACTCGGCAGAAATGAGTTGACCAGCTTATTGCTTCCAAGTTCCGACTGTAGCACAAAGGACAGGAAATGTGGGCTGTAAGAGGAGGATGATCTTGTTTGATAGCACTCTACAAGTTGGTTAGCTTTTGTGATTGCTTAGTCACAGCCTACAAGCATGGACCCTCTCCTAAAGAATTAACAAGTACAGGACACGTATTGCACGTTTGGGTCTGTAAGACATGAGAAGAAAGCTGGTCAAATGTCTTCCCCTTCCTGCCAGAAGATTGGCTGGAACAGTAGGGGTGCTCATTGATGGAGAAACAATTCTCAAGCTTCCAAATATGTCGTAGTCCAGACCAGGTATGAGTCATACTGCTGAACTGTTCTTGAAGTACCTGCAAGTTTAAAAGTGTGGGTCATGGCTGCCAGCATGATTTGTTCTAATGTGACAAATTTAAGAAAACATTCAGGAGCTTCTGGACCCCAGTTCATCATCTAGATGAATTCTTAATACTTTTTTTTCATGTCACCAGTAGTTTGCCTGAGTTTAGGGGAAAGGTCCCCTCCACAAAATTGAGTTAGATCCAGCTAATGTTGTAGTAAGAACTTTGTTTAATGCCATTTTTGCTAGTTGTTGAGGACACTTAATTTGTTTTAATAGGTCTGCCAATTGTCGTGATAGAATTCCAGTCTACTAGTTAGTATCTTAACCATGGACTCAAGCTATTTGTTTGGAAGGGCTGTGGGATCACATTTGAGAGAGAACTGGGGAAGTAGAAAGGACTTGTTCATAGATGGGATTCCGCAGAAGGAGTGCATGAGATCTCCGTTTGTCCCAGGTGTGATAGAGAATGTCATCTTTCTTTTTTTTTTTTTTTAAGCTGAATTTCTGAGAGATGCTAATGCCCACAGAAGCTTACATTTTTGGGGCATTGTAAATGAATCTTGGAAAGGCTGTCCCTGCCTGAGTATTATAAAAATAATACTCATAGGAGAAGAATGCTCCTTTCAACTGTGAAGAACAATTTTGTGGCTGCTAGTTGACTGCCTTTTTGCCAAATGGCTGAGTGTTAAAGCAAGGAAAACTTCTATCAAAAAAGAATTTGGATTTCTTCTATAGCTGGAATTGAGATGCTCCAACTTACTAGGAGTTCAGAAAACGCTTTCATTATCACCTAATGCTTATTTAGGAGGAAATACTTTTAATATGCATTCTGTTCTGACACACTGATGAAATTATTTAAGAAAACCATTGTTTCATTTGCTAGGCATCCTAAGCAAGCTTTTCACCTGGTGTGTTAATGATAGTTGCGGTATAATGAGACTTGATGGAAGAATTAAGATCAAACTGATGCTCTTTGTTTTTTATAAATTGGTAGTACTCAGCTCTTCGGAACTGCATTTCTCATGGCAGTAGTTTTCTCTCTTTGCAGGGAGCAGCTATCCTCATTTTTTTCAAAAATAAACATCAGATGTAGAAATGCTGTGACTGGCATTCACCTTGAGATAAGTCTCTCTTGCTCTTACAGTTTGTTTCCTTGTGAGTGATTTCAGTGGATGTTTGGGTCTACATGCTGCCTTTGAAATGAGAGTCTTTAGGTGTAATCATTAGACTTCAGGGGAATATAATAGCCTTCTGAAATCAGCTTGCATGCAAATATAGTAATTAGAATGCACAAAAGCTTATGTTAGAATTTAGCAGGGAAAGACTTACTGTAGCAGACTACCCTGAAAAATTTTTCAAAAAGCTGTGGATTTTTTATTTAGAGACGCTAACTCTGCTTAAGCATGCTGTAACTAGGCTTTTTCCAGTGTCTGATGAGCTTTCATTGGCCTTGCCAGGTTTGCTGCTAACTTTCTTCTTATGAGCCCCAAAAGGCAAGGAAATTGGGGGTGGGGGGAAGGGAGCAGTTAAAAAGCCTGCTGTTAAATATGCATTGTAAGTAAAAATGGATTCTGAAGTGGAAAGCTTCCAGATTTCATTCACTTTTACTTCTGAGATACGCTGAAGCGTTCTGAGCTTCTGTAAATAGCTTTTTCCTGAACACTAGTTTCCAGGGATTTGACTGGAATTTTTGAAGACTCTGCACTGAGATTTTTCCCTTAGGCTTCTTAGAGATTCCCATATCTAGAGAGAGCGGCTCCTCTAACTTGTTCCGAAAAACAAGTAGTGTATTTTGGAGAGCAGTTGTTGCCTTCTGCTTTCATCTGTACCAGCCACAGTCAGGCGCATGTTCCGAGTCCCTCAACCAGCCTTTGCTGCATGTTCACTGCTCACTACAGTTCGATCCTTGCCGTACAGCTTGGCTGTTAATATCTACAATAAGACATTGACCTTGCTTGTACTGTGGCTCAGCTATTCTAAATGGATTTTTCTCAGAAACAGCAAACTAGCGTTGTTTGCTAAATGAAAATAGGTCTCTCTGAGAACTTCCACGTTAGTCATGGTAAAGAACAAAACAGATGTTCAGACATCACTTGAAGCTCATCCCTTTGTCAAAAGCAAATGTAGAATCTATCATGGGATGAAGAATATAATGTTACCTTTAACGCATCTTCCAGAAGTGTGTGTGCTTTTGTTAGCTCTTATATCAGTGGCTACTCCAATATAAGGCCTGCTAGGAAAGATTCTGTTTTAATTATGAACTTGGGAAAATATATTACTGTTGGGGATGCAGATGTTGTTCTCAAATTCCCTTTGAAAATTAATAAATAAGATAAGTTGTTTCCAAAACTAAGTCTACATTCAGACATATTCCTGGAATCTACTGTAAACATTCTCACTGAACAAGGACTCTGTTATCTTACCTATTATGATCTTTTAATTTTTCTAAACTTAGTAGGTATAAAAGGTAGAATATCGTTCTTGCAATCAGCGTATCTGGACTTTGTTTTCATAGTATAAAGCAAAAATCTGTATGCTTAAACATGAGGGAGGTTATAAATTTACCTGTCACATTAAATTATTGCTTCCTAATACCTTCTCCCCCCTCCTGCTCAAGCGTTCCCTTTTCAGTGGCTTCGCTCCTAAATAGTAGTTTCCTTGATGGACGTCTCTCTGCTTGCCTGAAGTATAGTGTTCACTTTTTACTCCTTAGTGATTTATCCTTCACAGTATTAGTTGCGATAGAAATGGAGTCAATGCTTCCATTCCACATGCTAACCTATGCGGAAAAGTAAGAGCTCTTCTTAATCCTGTTAATCCTTTTGCTGTAAGTGCTTTTTGCATATGTGCAGGTCGTTCAAAATATCAGGTGTAGCACCAAGAGAGCCTATTTGTTTCTTTTCTTGACAAGCATTAGGATTACTCTACTAAACACTTAGTAACTCAACTTAATCTAAGAACTCAGTAATAAGATACAGTTCTCTAAACAAGTGTTACAGCTCAGTTTTCTCTGTTTCAAGAATGCTTAAAAAATGGTCAAGTTTAAAAAAATAAAAAATAAAAATAAAACTGCAGTGTAAGCATCCTGCTCTTAACATTCCATGGCTTTCATGGCCTGTATCTGTATCCAAAACTATCTCATTATTGAGCTCTTGAGCTGAGTTGAGTTGTAATTTTGTGCCTGTAGCTGATAGTGGGTTGGCTTTGTGAAGAAAAATTCCTGTTTTAGAATTCTGTAACTGGCATCTTTATTTTCCAGATGGAAAGTATTCTATGTGTATGTGAATTGGATGTAAAATTGAAATGAGCAAAGTGCTAATGTCAAGTTACTGACACTGTGGTACCTCTGTCTTAGCGCAGTAACCCCAACCGCCTGTCCGAGCGCTCATTTTTTTCAGTCCTCTGGCAGTACGTTTCCTCCAACTCTGCCCATCTCAGTCTCTTAATATACAACATCCCTAAACATCTCGTCTCTTTCAAAAGCCCCGCGTTCTGTGAAAGCGTAAGTCCTGATGCTGCAAAGGGTTCAGAGGAGCTGTACCAGATCCGACATGAGTGTATCTGCTTCTCAGATATTCCACTTTCTGGTTCCATATCTGCAGAGGTGCTTTTGATCCTGGCATCCCTCTGTGCCTTGCTCAGTATGGAAGCCAAGGCGGTAGCCTAGAACTACCATTGGTTCCTACCTTCTCTACCAGTCAGAAAACTATGCTTTGCTGACTTTATTCTGTGCTGAGTAGCTGAAAATCAGCAACACCTCTCAGCTTTTGGTCCTATCTCAGGAGAGGCAGCAGGTGTAGTGATACGGACAAAAGAAATGTTACACTCGGCTGTTGTGGCAGACATGCATTTATGGATCTGTTTTAAGTAGGGATGACTCGGATTCAAATGTGCAACGTTTAAGTTAAACACTTGGATAATGTGTGTTAATCAAAGGTGTTGTAGTATTACTGGACTAGTTTTTTAATCATTCAACCAGGCATATCAGCAGAAACGACACTTCATGTGGCTTTAAAAGGTGAATGATTATATAATCTGAGTCCTAAGTCACAACTAAAATATATTTAAACTTTTAGAGTTCAACTCTGTTTGCAAATTTTGATCTGTCGGGCATTTCTGATTTTAATCTCACAGTTGTTATGATGGAGTCATATACTCCTTTGTATTACTTATTTAGCTGTGTGTTAGTTCTTCAGGATCAAACTGCCTCTGTAACAACACTATTGATTCTTGCTTTTATTCCATAGGCTGTGAAGATATTATTGCTGAGAGCATCTCATTAGACACCTTAACTGCCATTCTCAAGTGGAGTTCTCAACCGTATGGGTCCAAGTGGGTACATCGTCAGGCATTACATTTCCTCTGTGAGGAGTTTACCCAGGTCATGACTTCAGATGTCTTCTATGAACTAAGCAAGGACCACCTGCTTACAGCTATTCAGTCTGACTATTTACAGGTAACTTTACAGTTCGGAGTACAACTGGTCCTGCTCAGAACAGGATATGTTATATCGTTACTGGAAGTGTTTCAGAGTAGATCACTATAAACTGTAGTCAAGAGTTTGTTTGCACACTGAGTTTTCTATTGGGATATATTAAAAAAGGAGAGAAAAAAAAAAAGAAAAAAAAATTGAAGTAGCAATTAAGAAAACTACTCTGTTCTTGGCTTGTAACACAGCCCAAACTGGTTATATATGCTATTGCTTGGAAGCCTAATAATAGTACAGAAACAGCTGCAAACTGTTTTAGATGAAGCGTTTCTAGATTTAACACTTGCCTGGCATGTGTGCGTGTCTTTTGTTTATAGATATGTATATACAAAAAGATTACATGGTAGTAGTTGTTATGCTATGACAATGTGTATCCTAGGTTGGGGCAGACGAAGAGCAAATAAACTAGTAATCATTCAAAAGACTTCATTTATTTGTTCTGGGAAACAAAAAATTCTCTTCTGTGAAGTATTGCAGTATTTCATTTTTGTCATGACTTTTATACAGTGATGGTGTAGTTTTAAGGGGAGGAAACTATACTGACTAATAGAAAGCTTGTGGATTTTTGCTGCCTCTCCTCTGTAGAGTTGATGTGTTTGTAATGATGACCAACCATATAGGTTACCTCCTTTTTTCTCTTGCTGTTGTTAAACTTGTTCCTCATCCTACATCTAGAGAGTATTGTATATAATAGCACAGATCTGCGAATCTGTGCTCAGTTGATATCACTGCATAAGGAACCCCCTCCAGAGCTCAAAACAGAGCACAAACCTAAATAAATCTATCTTGCTCTGTGTTTATGCCTGTCTTTTTTTTAAGACTGACATCTCACCTGGATCTGTTTTGCACCACACACTGAAAGTGGAATCAATGAAGACTTTGAACAGGCTTCAGTTGTTGCAATTGCTTCCTTGCTGAACCAGCCTTCTGTTTCTTATTTGTTTTCTTGATAGGGCAACTCAGTTTAGAATTGGAGCTAAAATTTGGTCTGTTGTATATTCCCATGAAGAATGCCTCATCATTTGAGAAATGACAGGGATAGTACCAGCAGTAAAGCCATATTCAAATCCATTTCCCCTTTTTAAGCTTTAATCTTTAAGGCTTTAAACTTTAAGAAGTCTTACTCATATTCAGATTTGTTGTTAGAAACTTCAGGACATGCTGAAAACCCAGTTTTTTAAATGCAGCATGCAGGATTGCAGAAAACAACTAGCTAGCGTATACAGCATGAGCTTATTCCAGAATTTGTGTTGGAAATGATGACTTTAGAAATGATAAACAGTTAAGCTGAAAAGCTGTTTAACAGTAACAAGTTAGGAGTGTGGGTTAGGAAGGACTGCTTAAAAACGTGCGAGGGAGAAGAGAAGCAGCAGACTGCACGACTTATTTTTAAAATGAGATATGTCTTTAGAAGTGGGCAAATGTTCCAGGTTCTGTGAAAATTGCTTTGTTTGGGAAAATTTTTTTTGGTAGGAGGGTACAGTTAGTTCTACTGCATTTTTCCAGAGTTTATGTATCGGCAATACTAACTAAAATATTTAGAGCGAATGTTATAGCAGATCAGAAAGTACAAATGTTTATTTTGTTCCTGGTACAGTTGTATTTCTTTTTAACTGTGAAACATGCGAGATTTTTTTTTTTGGTACCATAAAACTAAGCATATAGAATTTCTCTTTCTACCAGGCAAGTGAGCAAGATATTCTCAAATATCTTATTAAATGGGGAGAACACCAATTGATGAAGAGAATAGCAGACCGAGGTAAGGATCCTTTTAAACAAACACACAGTACCAAACCAAATAAACCAAAAAGTGTGTCAGCCCTTTTTGTGGGTTATCTGTAATTTAAGGAAACTTAATCTCTTCTGCTCATAGTATAGTCAAAACTAAACAAAAGCATTAAAATGAGAATTTCTCTTCTTTAAAAAAAAAAAAAAAAAAAAGGCAAGCTTTTCTCTAGAAAAATAAAACCACAGGCATTGAGAGAGCTGGAATTGCTTAGCCTCAAGAAGAAAAGGATTGGGTGGAAGGGGGCCTTTATCAATGTCTGTAAGTATCTAATGGGAGGGAGTAAGGAAAACAGACTTCAGTGGCCCCCAGTGACAGGATGAGCGTACTAATTGAAACAGAGGAAACAATATTTAAACACAACAAAAAATTCTTTTGTGTTGTAAGGGTGGTCAAACACTGAAACACGTTGCCCGGAGAAGTTGTAGTCTCTGTCTATGGAGATGTTCAAAACCTGCCTGGACAGAGTCTTGGGCAACCTGCCCTACACTCCTTTGCGAGTGGGTTGGGGGAGCTTATACTAAGGTTCTGCAAAGGTCATCTATGATTCTCTGCTTTTTAATAATCTGTTTGATTTCCTGTTACCTCGGAGTAATTTTTGCTGCAACTAATTCATTAAATAGAAAAACTCTAGTATCCTTTAATTTGTGCTGATACAGGTTCTTCATGCTTGTTTGTTCTTATTTTCAGTTTACTGTGTCAACCTTTTGCTTCAGTTTCGGTACATTTCTCCCACAGAAGTCTGTGGTAGTGAGAAACAAGCCGTTAAGTGGTATTAATATTTTTTTCTAAAGTAGAAATGTACCTTTTGTTAGCTGAGATGCACACTATTTGCTGCAGTCATCATTTAAATGGTGATCTTGCGTGTGTTGGATGTGGGAAGCAAGTTAAATATATATTTCCCAGAGTACAAATGCAAGTAACTTGTAGTTCATCCATGCCTACAAAATGTCAGTCATATAATATAAGGAGAGGAATAAAAAAGACGGGATCAGCCTGTGTAAGAGCAGAGCCATGATGGTGCGGTTACTGTGTTTGGAGGGCTTACCACGTTATTGAAATCCACTATTACTGCTTGTGACGCAACTGTATTGTCGTGGCCGTTTTATACAGCAAAAGGTCTGTTAAAAGATGTGGTATTAATGATTTCGATAAGTACTTGCCTCCTACCTTCCAAATGAGATTTTACGTGTTTGTCTTGGGACATGTTGGAATATAATGGAGCCAATTAGACCATAACAGATCTGGATTGGTAGAGAAGCTAGTTGGAGCAGTTGTGCTTCTTGTTCTATGGTGTTCATTAAGTAAATAACTCTGTTTCCATTTCCTAGGTTAATCAGATAATGTGATATGCAAAAGGAGAAGTAAGTTCTGCCAAGTTTTGTCAAGTTAAGGCCATATTTAGTCTAGTAACTTGGTCTGAGTATAAGATGCTTCTTCAATGACGCTCCTGGTTTTGCAGCTCTAAATAGTGTTGTCAGTCAAATATCTGAAAGTGTTAGAAACCGCTGTAATACACGGTGGCCAAAACTTGAGCAGCACGTACTGAAGGGAAGATGCGTATGTCAGACAGGTTTCACCAAAGACCGAAGTTAGTCAAGTTTGGGTTAGGCACAGTACCTAAAATATAGATGAGGGTAGCTAACTCGGGAGGGAGAATGTGAGAATGTCATCTTGTCCCCTTGCACTCTTTCAGAAGGTATCCCTTCTTGGCTTAAATAGATATCCCACGAACATAATGAGAACAATTTGATTTGACTGTGACACGGCTGTTATTAGGTGGGTTACACCTCTGAGGCTAGGTTAATTTATATCAGCGGTATCTCCTAGCTTTAATTTGCAGAAAGTAAGTTTCTGAAAACTACTGGGGAAGAGGAGAGGAGCTGCAGGAGAGAGTCCTTGGGGAACTGCAAGTAGCTAGGGATAAACGTTTTCATAGCATAGCTCTAGGTAGAGCCTTATAAACCTCTGCCTAACACACTGTTTGTGTTTTCTGCCTACTTGACGTTTTGAAACTGACAGCTGAACAAATGACCCATTTCAAATAAGCTGAACCTAACTATGCTGATGCTTTGTATCAGATCCTGGTGCATGAACTGGCTTTGTGGAACAGTGTTCATAAGCGTTGTGGGGTTTTGTCTGTTTTTTCAAATGAGATTTTTCTTTCCTTTCTTATAACTTCTTGTAAGTCCTATAACTTCTGCTTTTTCTTTTTAAACTCTTATTTTGGTGTAGACGTTTTACTTTTTGCTCCTTCTCACAGAGCCTAATTTACTGAGTGGTACTGCTCACAGTGTGAACAAAAGAGGTGTAAAGAGGCGAGATCTTGACATTGAGGAGCTCAGAGAAATCCTGTCTCCGCTTTTACCTTTTGTCCGCATTGAGCACATCTTACCCATGAGCAGCGAAGTACTGAGTGATGCAGTAAGTCAATCTTCTCATACAAATGTTATTTCCAGGATCTTTATACTTGAAATTCTACAAAAGTTCAGGATGGCGGGTTCTTTGAGAACTAGTTCCTAAGATGTCATCACTCAGAGTAATAGATAACATGACTCTTTCTGCTTAAATTTTCTGTACTTTGACTCTTTCAGAAGAATTCATATAAAAAAAAAAGTCTAGAGATCCCATGTAAGAGACACAATTGTTGCAAATTTTTCCTATACACAGTGGTTTTGTTTATTCAATCAAGCATTAAACCTTTTTTTTTTTTTCCTGATTCTTCAAGATGAAGAGAGGCCTGATTAGTACACCTCCTTCAGACATGCTACCAACATCGGAAGGTGGAAAGTCTAATGCCTGGCTGCGGCAAAAAAATGCTGGAATATATGTGAGGCCAAGACTGTTCTCACCGTATGTAGAGGAGGCTAAGGTAATAATCATTAATAACATTTGGCCGTTGCTAAACTGGAATCATCAGGGGGTTCTGTAAACAGGGAAAATTTTTGGTGTGTTTTGTCTCTCTTTGCATGTACTGGCCTAAAATACTAACATTTTCAATTTAACAAGACTCACAAGATTGATCATCAGGCTCAAGTCTCTAGAACTGGTCAGAAAAATTTCAACAAAATTTTTTTTGTCGAAATTGAAATGTTTGCGAGACAGATCTTGATGAAATTCCACCGGAAACAAAGCAGCGTTCTGAGGGAAACCTCCCTGGTTTCCAGCCAGTTTGCCGGCCCAGCTCCTCGGCAGCCCACCTGGCAGGCGGATGGCAAGGTGAGAGCCTGAGAGTCCCAGTTTGCAGCTAGTCAGCAACCTTGGTGCCAGGTCTTTCAGGCTCCGCAGCTCTCACTAGAGCTGGGTGGAGAACTACCATTCCACTGGGCAGAGGACTTTGATTCAGACAAAAACAAGTACCAGAATATAATCAAAATTCTTTTGATCCTCTGCAAAATGGAATAAATATCTTGTGTCCCCTTTTAGAAAAGTCCCTTCTGTCCCACTCCAGCCGTAGTCGTCCTTCCCTATTTAAGGTCTTGCATGAGGACAGTAAAACTGAAGATCCTATAGAACCTCTGATATTGAGGAAGATCAGTGACAGGGTGGAGATGGTTCCTGTGCGGGGCAGGAACACGCCAAGTTCTACCTGACAGAATGGGCCCCTCATAGACCACTAGCTAATGTCACAACTTAAGGCAGCTATGATTTAGGGCAAGAGCTGATCAATCCCAGCAGCATAGTTGACTGCAGAACAGAAGGCTTAGGTTGAGGGTGTGTTCATCCATTTCACCTACGAACTCTAAACACTGTTCTGGTGAATACAGCGTTTTTGGCCCTATGCTTAAGAAAATACTTAGGGGTGTGAGTTGTCATTGATTATTCTCTTTGAGGGGAGTGGAGAACAAACTTTTTTGAATTTTGAGCACAAAGAGTAGAAAGGCAGGTGGCACTAAAGAAACAAAGGAAGACTAGCTGATTAAACTGTATTTTTGTACCTTGGATTGTTAAACTAACAAAAATGTGTTAAAGAATACATAATGAAAGCTATGACTCTTTTAGTACTCACTGTACAGTATAGAAGTGCTTTAGCAGTACTCTTAAGGCAAAAAGTGAATTCTTAAAATTGATTTTTCTGTCAGAAATCCTAGTTGGTTTTAGTTATGTTTTGCTGTTATTGTTTTTAAAGAGATCATTAACTGTTTAACTTTAGTAAATATGAGAATCATCCCTCTTCTATTTGGTGAATACTACTATTCATAGTTTGATTGTGAAGTGCAGGAATTGCTTATGAGTGAGTGATTACAGTTAACTTTTACTCCTTTGTTAGCTTCCCATTTCTTCAAACAACTCAGTTTAGCATTAAATGAGACCTTTAACCAGGAGTATGCATAACCCCTTTCTATCAGTTAGGACATGTGAGGGAAGCACGTTTCACTTGCAAGCTAGTATGTTTAACTCGATTTGCCAGAGTTTGAAATATAGGTAACAGTTTGAAGCAGAATCCAGAGGGTCTGGCTTTGGGATGGTTGCTTCCAATCTGGCAGTTACAGAATAAATAAGCAGTCTTCCCAACCCTTTTTCATCCGAATGCTATTTGCCCTGAAATTTGGTATGACTGGAAAATGGAATAGAAAATGCTGTGCAAAAGCCAAATACTGTTTGGGAGCTGAAGGACTTACGGATTAGGTACTGTTAGACTTGTGGCCTTGGGACTGCATTTGCAGCAGCTCCTGGTGAGTGTGCCTGTGCAATGCCTTCACGAGGGCTCTGATGGCTGTCGTTGCAGTCAGTGTTGGATGAGATGATGGTGGAACAAACCGATCTCGTTCGTTTGCGGATGGTCCGAATGTCCAATGTGCCAGACACCCTTTACATGGTAAACAACGCGGTGCCACAGTGCTGTCATATGATTACCCACCAGCAAGTTAGCACTAACCAGTCCAGTCCTCCATCAGTTATAGCCAATGAAATCCCAGGTAAGGCTGCTAGAGCATCGGTAACACTGTTTGCTGTTATGTGAGCCTTTTGGGGTTTTGGGGCGGAGAGGGAGTGAGTTATTGAACGCTGATATCTTCAGAGAAGAATGTTTCCCATTTTGGGCTTCTTGCGCTCACCCACTTGAATTATCTTTTGGTTTGGTCTACCTTGAAGAGAGAAACTATATTCAGATGGCATAGTAAAAAGTTAGAGAGTAAGCTGGAGCAGGAGGAGGTGTTGAATTTTAACCTGCTTTAGTTAAGCAATTTGAAAGACCTGGAACTGATAACGCTTACCCTAGAATATCTGCTGGAGCTTGGATCTCTGCTCTCGGCGACTTTTTCAGGTATCCACCACAAGTTCTCTATGATGGGTAAAATCCAAAAGGTTGTAAAAAGGGGAAAATATTGATTTATTTAAAAACAAAACAAAATCTGGAGGAGGAGCAATAACTTTAGGGCAGTCGGCTTAACTCAGTTTTCTGGAAAAACATCGAAGTAGGCAGTTAAAACGCATTTGTTGTCAGTTTGACAAATCTGTGTTAGCATTAATGTCAAACCGTCTTAATGCCTTATTTGGCAGAGTAATTATTTGTCAGTGACCTGAAGGAGACATGACCTCTCTTGACTTCAGGACAGTTGGTATTTGACATTCTCCATAAGCAAGCTAGGGAAATATGGTCATGAAACTCCTGTAATACTTTGCTGCATTTATGCATTCAATCTTTCTGTGTCAAATGGAAGGATTATCAGACGGGATTGCTGGAGTATCTACCTCTTATTTGTTCATGAATGCCTTGTGTGGTAGCATACTGAATACAGTGGCAAAATTTGCAGCTGGTAAGTTGGGAGCGTCGGTGGATGTTTTGGTGGATAGGATGAGATGTCTAAGTGACCAATGGAAACTGGAATCCAATAAACTGGGAAAAACTTAGTCTGCTATCGTATTTGCAAGGTCACCAGAAGTGAACACACAAAGTGTAGTAGAACAAGCACATAAAAGAATCCCTGTAAAATTCTGAGTTCTTTCAACCATTAATAGCTCGGTGATAGCTCGGTGTAAAGAAGATTTGAAACACTGTTTAGAAAATGTAGCCTAGTGTTTATCCAGAAAGGTTTTGATCTACTTGATCAGTTTCTGTTGTTGAAGAGACTTGATGAAACCTAAAAGGAGTTTCTGAAGACTCTTCTGTAACTTGATAAAAGTATTTGTTTAGAAACTTGCACTGCTGAGACAGCACAGCTGCATTACAGCATTCAGATATTTTCTCCTTTATAGAAAAGCATAAATACACTCACGACCACTTGAATTTAAATATTTCATCAAAAGATGTGACTTTACACTTGTAATGCTTTGCTAGACTCTAGTTTCCAGAGATTGGCAAAGGAGCAGGTTCCAAAGGTCTCCAGTGTTTTGCAAAAGTTCTCACCTTCTGTGAATTTGGCTCTAGTGGAAATCAGTGAGGCATCTTGACCCATTTGAAAATCTACTGCAAATTGATTCTGTTTAATGCATAGGAATTATTGCCAGCCCTTTTGATTTCAGCGTGGGAATGAGCTGTGAGCTCAGCCAGTAGTTGGTCCATAGGCATTTTGTGCTGATAGTGGCTTGTTTTGCTTAATGAATTTTATTCTGCCAAAGAATTGATTTTTTTTTTTTCCCCCCCCCACTTCCCAAAGCTAAGAAGGTTAGATGGGACCAAATCAGTTTGTGGAGAATTGGGCATATACCAAACCCTTAATAATGTGGGAATCCATCTGTGAAACAAAGACAGCAGACAGGAACTGTTGGAGGGGAAGCTAGTTAACATCTTCTCAGCGCCCCTCAGGCTGGACTCTCAGAGCAGGAGGTTCTTTGCAGCATTCGTTCTCTCTCTGTGCCTTGTGTTTTTTCTCACTCGTTCTCCACAGACTGCGTTTACATGAATGTTATTGCCAACATGTCTTGGTGTTCTTCTTGCAACAGTAATGCAAAATGACATGAAGCTCCACTGAAATGTTTTCTGCTTTGATGTTAGATTCTGCAGGTAATTAGGCTTCCTTAGGTGTTTTCAAGTTGCAGTTTGAGCTGGAAATCCTGCAACTGATTGGAGAGAATTGTACTTTTCATGCACATAGTGCCACTACTATTTGTTTCACTTGAATAATACTTTAAAAAGGGATTGAACAGATTACACTCTTGCATAATAAATTTCTGATTTTTATGCCCAGTAATTTGGAGAGCTGATTTGAATTTCTCTAAAATCCTCTTTTTTCAGTGTTAGTAAAATGTTGAGTGTATCTAAATACGATTGCTAAACCAGAACTTTTCAGAACATTTGAAGTATATATTGGGTAAACTTATTTCTAAGCCTTGAGGATTGGCTAGAAGTATGGTTTTTTCCTTTTTTTTTTTTGGGGGGGGGGGGCAGACAGGGGTTTCATGTACACAGTGCAAACTATTTTCTTTTCTCCTAGTACCTTTATTTTTCATGCACCAGTGTATAAACTTTTTGTGAAATTGGAAACAGTTGTAGTCACATGGTGTTGGGTTTTCTCCTTCTGTGTAATGCAAATGTGTTTTCACACTGTTCTTGCTGTCTGATCCATTTAATTTTTGAGCCTTCATTACGGACATCTGGTCATGGTGATACATAACCCTTGTGAAGGTGGTAATAGATCAGATGCCAGGATTTATGTATTCAGAGATCTGGGTTTGACTTCTCATGCTATGCACGTTTCCTGAGGACAGAAAGACCACAATAAAATATAATTCATCATCAGGCGGCAGCAAAAAGTTGCATGAGAAAGTCGTGCAAGAGGATAAATACCCCAAATTACATATGATTTCCTTTTGGAAGGATTTTTGTAATGATTTCACTATGACTGAAAAAAATTAATTTTAACAGGTTTATGTTGGCTTACGTTTTGTGTAAATCTTTTATTTTTTTAGAATGCTCTCTCTGTAGTTATATACTGTTATTATGGTCTTGCGATTATGGAATTGTACCAGAAGTGTGAAGCGTAGGCCAAAAAAAATAATGAATTCTTGGCCTGCCGTATTCATGAGGGAACATTTAGTTATTTAATATATCCTGTTCCACATCCCACCTCAAATCATGAAATTCTTGTATCATGAGGAGTTTACAAAGAAGGCTGTATTTGTGGTTCACTTTAGCTGAAGCTGGTATATGTCTTTGCCGTTTGTATGATGCATGTATTATGCCGTGTGCCTTATCCCATAATGATGCTCCAAGGCATTAGGCATATATGTGTAAGTCAAAGTGTTCTTGGCAAAATGCTTCTTAAGGACAAGTTTAAGCAGCCTGATGTATGTGGGGTTTTTTTTGTTTTGTTTTTTCTCCCTTCAGAAATAAGGCTAACCATTCTGGCAGCACTCTGTCTTATAGTTCAAAAAGTAATATCTGCTATTCCTCCTTCCCCCTCCTCCTCCAGTTCCCAATCTCCTTGTTGTAAAAGAGATGATCAAACGACTGCAGGAGCTCCGTCATACTGAGCAGGTGCAAAGAGCGTATGCTCTCAATTGTGGAGAAGGTGCCACAGTCAGTTACGAGATTCAGATTCGCGTGTTGCGAGAATTTGGACTTTCTGATGCTGCTGCTGAACTTCTGCAGGTATGAAAAAAATGCTTGTATAAGACAGCAGGTATTTGATTCTGGCTCTAGTCTGATTACACATGCATGTACAGAACACTGATGTTTTGAAAAGCGTTCATAAGTTTAGGTTGACAGTCTGTTACATCTGACTTAAATGACTTATAAACACGTAATTCCAAAGTATGAATATTGTTCTCACAAGTTGTTGCCATTCAAGGTGCTCTTGCTGTCCCAGTTTTTGGGTATGAGATTAATCTCTATTTTAAATCTGAGATTCAAAGTTGTTTTTTGTTGTTTTGTTTTTTGTTTTGTTTTTTGAATAGACTAAAACACTAGTTGTAGGACAAGCAGGTCTGATTCCACAAGGAAGCACCAGTAGAAGTTGGCTTGTTTTTTAACTGAAGGCTTTTAAAAGCTATCTTTCTGGGAGTTAAAGGATGCCTAGTCCTTCCTTTGCTGGAACCAGGTGATGAATGTTGCAAAACCAGTTTGTCTTTGTTTATGATTTAGTCTCAGCCAAGTATTGGCTGTTCACAAATGTTTAGAGAGTACTTCTTGTGCGGTAACTATAGCATGCCAACAAGGGCATTAACACGAGTGAGTTGTTGCTCCTTACTTTGAGGTTCAAAATTTGCTACCTCGATCTTTTTAAAAACTTAAGTCATTAAGACCTGAAGAAATAGCTGTGTAGAAGGAAAGGTGTACGGTTTTTCCTTTTTTAACTGACTGCTCACATAAATGGTAAATAATCAGAGTGAACAATTCAAACGATTAAAAAACTACAAATTCCTTCTCAAAGAGGCTATTTGTAATAGTCGAAGCATACCTAGAATTCTAGCTTGTGATTCCCTCTTGAATCAAAGAGGAGAAAAACACCTAATTGATACAGTAGATCTGGATAAGGTACACATCTGGACTGGGAAACTGATAGTCGCAGTGTTTAGCAAAAACATTTGGTGGGCAACTTTATTGCATAATGAATCTGCCTCTTGTCTTATTTTCAAATCTCTTACTCCATGGCAGCTGTAAAGTAGCATAGGAGACTTACCTGGATAATTTGTTGCTTTGTTTGTTTACTTTTTTTTTTTTCCTACTTGCAGAATCCTCACAAATTCTTTCCTGACGAGCGATTTGGGGATGAAAGCCCGCTCCTAACAATGAGACAGTCTGGACGATGTCGTGTTAACAGCACTCCCACTGCAGAAACCATGTTTACAGAACTGGACTCTTTTGTGGCCTTTCATCCACCATTGCCCCCTCCTCCACCTCCATACCACCCACCAGCAACTCCTATTCATAACCAGTTCAAAGTGGGCTGGAAACAAAGGGTGCCAAGTCAACATCCATCCCGTTCCTTTTCTTACCCTTGTAACCATTCACTGTTCCACTCCCGGACAGCTCCCAAAGCTGCACCACCTGTCTATTTGCCCGGTGTTAAAGCAGCACCTCCTGATTGCACTAACACTACAGGTCTGGGAAGACAAACAGTGGCCGCAGCAGCTGCAGTCATGGCAGCTGAGAAGCAAGTAGTGAGTACTTTCGTTTTCTCCCCTTCAGCCCTTTCCTGGCTATTCAAAGCAACTTTTTGAGAGGACCTGAAGTAAATTCTCATGATGAAGTAACTTGGCTTAGTAAGAGAGATGAGAGCATCTCAGCATTGCAGGAGAATTTTCTATCAGAATTGAAGGGGGAAAATGACGACTTGACCATCGGCCTTCTGTATGCCTAAGGCATGGCCTGATGGCTGGGAAACTGACTGTTCCTGAGGCAGGAGACTTTTGGAGGGGGAAAATGGGACTTGTTGAGCTTCTGAAATAGCATAGTTTGCTCCACATTAAAACAAAGCATAACTTCAGTAGTGCACTGCATGCTGTCATTCACAGGTGGAAATCTTGTTGATATTTTGGCTATTCAGAAATCACCACTCCAGAAGTAAATAGATTTGTATAGGGAGAGCCGGCTGAGAATGTGAAAGCCTGATGGCTGTGAAGCAGCTTTTAAAATGATAAGGCAAGCAGAAGTCGGTAGTTGCCTATATGAAGGAGTGCTCGTTCTGGATTAGTATTTAAAGGTGATCATTGTAGTTGCTGAACTGATGTAATGAAAACAGTAAATGATAGGAGATGCTAAGCAAAGGTAGGGCTTTATATTTAGCATTTCATGTACTTTACAATGAATTTGACCATTCATTTCTGCAGTGAAACCACTGTTTCTACGGTTCTGTCATACTGAGAGCTTGCTGTTCAGGGGCTGCAGTTCTGAATGTAAATGTGGATATACTTTTTTCTTCTTCTTTAGAAGTTGTCCTAAATAATCGCACTCCTTTCTATATTTTAAGTAAGAATATTTTAACTTCAAATCAGTTATTTCCAGTTGTTTATTCAAGGGTCTATTTAGTAGCATAAGTCTCCGTTTTTCTTGGTCAAAACCGACTTCATTAAGGAAACAATGTAATGATCCTTCTGCAAGAGCTGACATAACTCATAACGGGTTCATCTATTGATTTTTTTTTTTGTGCATAATTTTCTTTCACGTTAGAAGTGTCTATATTGAATAGAATGTTTCTATTAAAAATGCAAGAAGCATAACCTTAACGCGGGTGATATTCTTGTTCTGTGCTCTTTACACAACTTGCGAGGTACTAGTAATTAACAACAATTAGCAAAACTGCTTTTATTAGGCACAGTAAGTACAAGTAGAAGTTTTAACTCTTCTGGAAGACTGATATGCCTGTCTTTGCAGGATTGCTTGCAAGGATATGGAAGGAGAAGAATGCAAAGTCCTTAGGCTTTTGTGTTCCTACGCACGTTGGCGTGCATGCAATTAATATGCTTTAAAATAGGAAATGTTAGCAGAGGTGTTACATCTGTAGCGAGGAAACAAATGCTTCCTGGCTCCCCTGCGTTGAAATTCTTGGTTATAGTATTACATTTCTGTTATGTTCTGCACTGAGTAACTTGTTTAGTTTAATAATTGCAAGTGGCTTAAAGCAGGTTTACATTTTGACAGTTTAACAGTACATTGTAATGCACTTTACTGCATATTAAATATTTAGGAAGCAACTGTTACTGTAGCACAACCATTTCCTGAAGGATTAAAGAAGCCTTAGGCTAACACTAAGGGGGAGGATGGAGAATACAGTCATTTAAGCATCGCAGGGAGCTTGTGGTCTAAGGTTAGTCTAGGCAAAGGTAGATTAAGAAAATGTCATTCTGAACTACAGAAAGTACCCTACGTGTGGCTTGTGTTTGGTTTCTGCTTTATTTCCGTGGTCTCACTTCTTTTTTCTTTCCCAGGGTACTCAGCCCCTGCTAAATGAACTGATGCCAGATATTGCAATGGGTGTGTCAGCAATGTCTCTAAAAGACAGAAGATTGCCAGAACTCACTGTTGACACAGAATTAAGCCAGACAGTCACAGAGGTAGGATCGGGTCCACCACAGCACATTTCATGTATTCAGAGCAGGCACTTGCCCACTTCTCGAAAGAAACATGCAATAGAGCAGAAAATAGATGCTGAAATGAATATCCTGACTTCTATGACTTCTCTAATGCTGCATCCAGACCTTCTACTCCAGTACCTAACAGACACAGTCCTTCACCTTCACAAGGCATGTATTTTGGCCCAGATCTGTATAGCCACAATAAGGCATCACCAAGTGGCTTAAAGTCAGCTTACCTACCTACCCAGATATCTCCTAAAAAGCAAGAGGATTCTAGGAGGGAATACCTGCTCTCCCAAGAAGGGCATCAGCATAGACAAAAGACTGAGCCAATACACCTCGATGTCTTAGAACAACCTCCCCAGCGACTGGACTTGGCATTGGCTACCCAGGAAAATGCTGGTAACGGCCCAGTTCACATCAGGGGAAGAACAAAAATGGAAACTGACTTAACCTATGGCCTAACCTCTAATAGACCTTCACACTCTGCATATGCCTCTGAAATGCAAGAAGAGAGACCCGGTAGGAGACTGGCAGACGATGAGCCATTAGAACATGGAATACAGAGAAATGCAGATTTGGAAAGGGAAGATGGAGTAAACAGAGGAAGGAGGTCTCCAAGCAAACCAGACTTCCTGTATAAAAAATCTGCCCTATGAAAGCAACCTCTAATATTTCTCCGTGCCTAAGAGTTGTAAACATACCATTCTTTAACTTTTGGCCTGAGTTTTGTCAGACAAATTCATTCATGCCAGCAGATAAACTCAGCTTTGCTCATTTCTTCTTGTATATACGTTGTGTTATTAGAGACAGCATGCTATCAGTTTATTTTTAATGCTACTTCTGTTTTTTGGTTTGTTTTTTTTGAGCAAATTTTAAGCCTTTAAGGAAAAAAAAAAAAAAAAGCTGGCACCTTTTTCTACAACCTGGTAGCCTTTTGCACCTGTACATCTATTTTAGTGTATTAGTTTTGTACTAATATGTTAAACTTTGTTGTTGCATTTAAAGGACTGTATTTTCATACTTTTGCATTTTCCCTCTCACCTGCCAATTCCCCGTGTGCATTGGGTTGCACATTATGAAATGTATTTTCTTATGAGATAGTAACAATGTGTTTATTTTTTAATTATAGAAATTCCAAAGAACAGCACATTAAAATAGTATATTTTTAGTTAGATCGGTTTTTTGTTCAGATCTCAAATGTCTTGGTTTGTATCACTACAGCAAGAATCCAGTCTAATAATGTTTTGTTTGAAAAGTCCTGGCAGGTGATCTTATAGCAGGCCCACTCGTGAGAATTGTATTTTGGCTTTTAAGAACAAAGAGGGATATTTAGGAGTCCAGATTGCAGTGACATTCACTGGGATCTGACCACCTAATTCTGTACGCTTTGTGGCTCAGCTGTGACCAGGGAGAATTCCACGATCACCAGGAAGCACTTACTAGCCAGACTAGAATAATTGATTTGCCCATGCAGAAATAAATCTAGAAATACTGTAAAAGTCATAGTAATAACTTGTTCTTCCAGCTACCTTTATGTGAGGGTGAGTGAAGACCAGAGCTGAGGATTCATGTTAAATCCTAGAGTGTGAGGAAGATAAGGCATAGTATCTTATGCTGTTGCCTGTGCTATAACTGTCCAATTGAGAGTTGCCTCTCCAACAGAGGTGCTGAGGTGACTGCTCATTGCCTTGCTTTGTCTTGCCTATGATTTTTTTAAAAAAAAAAAAAAGGGCTTCACTCTTAGTGATGTCATTCAGTGTTCCTTATCTAATTTGAAATGTTGCTGACTTCATAATTGCAACTGTGTTGTGAACAAAATCAAAGTGAAGAGTAACTGCTTTAGCACCATTAAATGTGTGAAGCTTTAGCACTCTTAAATTACACTTCCATTTCCCTGACCTTGCTTTCTTAAAGCACAGAAATAGGAGACTTATTGATTAGGATGAAATGGAGAGAATGGTAGTGATTTGGGCTGATTCCCTCTCCTTGACTTGAAGTTAAACAATACAGCTGGTATAGTAGTTACAGATATTCATTGCATCCCTCTTAATGCTTACTGTGCAATTCCTCCCTATTCTAAGTGTAACGAAGTTGTGGTGGTGATGCCACTGCAGTGTAGTCACTACTGGTAAAGGCCTGTTTGGGTTTTTTTTAAAGGCAGTTTCTGTAATGAAGAGCTTTCCCTGAAGTTGAAAACTGTAATCCCAGGTGTGATCTAAGGATTCCTTTAGGGTTGATTTGGGTTGATTCCTGCAGTTCAAAATGCTTAATACTATTTAAATAGAAATCTTGTTGCAGCATTACTTTCATTTTTAGCTGATGGCAGGTTTTTTTTTACCCCTTCTCTTTCATTAAAATATGCAAGACCTGACACGTGCAACACGTTTTCCTGAAATACTTAATACTGAATTTTCGATCTACCAAGTAGCTTCTGGATAGATGAAAATATGGGTTTGTAAACCAATAAATTGTAATATCTGCTGCATACACAGATACAGGCCTCCTGCTTCTATGAAAGCCCTGCAGGCGCTCCTTTTAAGGTATGATATAGGATTGGAGGAGAAACTTAACTGAACTGCACAGGTGATGTAAGTGTTCTGTGGGTGAGGGGAGATGTTTGTGGGTTCCCCCCCCCCCCATCAGCCTTTGTTTTGTTTTGTTTTTTAACCACAGTCAAGACACTTAGTGGTCCTGGCCTCATGACCAGTATACGTTATTTCCTCAGAACTGCAGTGTAAAACCTTTTTTTTAGATAATCAAGAGAACATCAGTAGGGGATAAAGCTACTGCAGGTTAGGGACTGAGGTTCATTGGACATATTCTGAAAATTTGAGCACAGTGCTGTCGTACCGTGTAACTCTAACCAAACACTTTGGTTTCAAGCTCATGTGTACTAGAAACAATTAAATTAACACTCATGTTGCAAGACTGAAACTCACTGCGCTTGCATCATTAGTCTGTTAAAGTAGCTGAATCACTTAAGTCATAGCTGTCCTGAGAATACTTACTATTCTGAGTAATTTATTTTTCCCTAAAATTGATAGATCTACTTTCAGAGGAGACTATTTTTAGTTACCATTATATTTAGGTGTGGCACTGTGTGCCTTGAGAGAGATGGGGCTGAAATCTATAGGTGGGGTTGGTAACTCTTAGCTTGAAATTTGTGGAGGTGTGGCTGATAATGAAGACTGAGAAGTTTTGAGGTTACAGTGTGAGTGGAATCATGAAATGGTGTGGCTTTGCAAATAAGCTGGTGAGAGATGCTTTAGGGCGGAAGGGGAAATATGTCTGCTTTTTAGAATACATAATTGCTTCTGAGTTCTTGGAAGCTGAGCAGTATTAAAAGGAAACTAGTGTTTAAAAATAAATGCAGAAAGAAAAGACAAGTCCTCTTGGGGCCATAAGACAATCAGGCCACTTGGACAATCTACACTTTCAGTTCTTTTTTTGAGTTGGGAAAAAGATAGCAGCTGACTTTAAGTGGAAGAGAAACATTTGTCAAATTAATGGAATTGTATTTTTATATTTCAGAATAGGATTTCCTACCTAGTTGGATGGGGGTGAGGGGAGAGACCATCTTTATCCTTCTTAATAGAATTATTAAGCTAGTGTTCTTACATCTCACTCCCAAAAAGTAGATACAGTGGGACAGTATTGTCTCAGCTTCCTAACACACAAAACAAATAACCATTATACCTACTGCTCTTTATTGTTCTCCATTTACTGATATTGATCAGTGCAGAAGACCCTTGTTTATGTGAAGCACTTTCTGATTAGGCTGGAAATTAATATCTCCTTTTCCTCCTATAAATTTGACAAGAGAAAAACATTGCTGACTGTATTTTGTTTGATGCTAGAGGTATGAACATTAAGCTTTCTGGGATGAGGAAGATCACTGTTTCATCTTTTATTAAAGAGAATTCAGACTCTCAATTAGTAAGCACCATGCAGAAACGTTCTAATTCTTCCTCCTTCTTACCCCTCCCTCTTCCCCTAATATATGGATGAATAACCTAATTCCTGGAAAAACATTCTTCCTTTGAAATGTTCTGTTGTTCCATAGAGTTGCTGTAGTTGTGTGTTAATAACTGCTGTGTTCTCTGGCAGTTGGCAGTTTCGTGTGTGGTGGTTTGTGTTTTTTTTTTTTTTTTTCCCCCCCCCTGTTCTTAAGCAGTTTCTATTCTGAAAATTAAGAGACTGGCGCTTCTTACTTGTAAGCCTTGGTTGTGGTCTTGGAATGTCCCAAATGTGTTTGTCTTACAGGTTTCTTTTTTCCAAGTGTTTTGGAAGAGTACACATGCTGTTTGAGGGACCGCTGTTTCTTCTAATGACTATAAGCTTATATGGTGGAGTGGTGCTGAGTTCTGCTGAATGCAGGGAACAGCTGAGAGATAAAATTGTAAAATCATATTTGCAGTCTCTGTAACTATTTGTACTTTCAGAAGGTAGCCTTGCCTTCTGCAACGTTACATTTTTGTTTCTTGTCCTCGTGCTGTTACTGGTATAAAGTCAAGTGCCTTCAATGCTAAAGGCTCAGAAAACTTTCTTAAACTGATTTCATGTCCTATGCAAGTGTTTTTCTACAACCTGCATAACCAGTACTTTGTAAAACTTGTTTACGCTTCAATTGTACATAGTGTTTTTTAAAAAAAAAAAATAGTATTTTTATTTAGGTACCTCCAGACTTGAATTCTAGTCTTGTGTGATGCATTGTAAAACAATACATTTCTCTTTTGAGTACCATTACAATTGTAAAAAGGTTTTCACTGGTTCTATTTTTCTACTGTTGCTGAGAAGCATGTAACACTGACTTTATCCTACGTATAGTTGGCATTTCAAATAAATGGCTTGTATAGAATGTGCATGTGCGACTTCTTTGATTTAACTGTTATCAGCGGGCTGCTAAATTAGTGCTGACTTATTGGCAGAACAGGATGTGTCATGATTACTCTGAACCCTTCTGTCTGACTGATTCTGTGCAGAGGAAAGGAGTATTTTAATTCAAACTTTAAAGTGCCCTGTAAGGGTAAAAAGATGAGGTTTATCACTTCTTCTGGGGGGAAAAAAAGTCCGCAGCAATACTTTGAACATCAAGACATCAGTGAACATCAGTGTAAAAATAGTAAGGCATAATTAGTGGCACTGTTCAGGCAACTTATTAAAAATAAAAGTGCTACACTGAAGTACATACTGTTTAGTGAGTTCTTTGGTCTGGAGCTTAACTGACTGACTATTCACTATTAAAAGCAATAGGATTACTCATACTCCAGGCAGCAGGACTTAGCCCTTGATCTAGAAAATGTTTATTTTTCTGAGCAGAGCAGCTGGACAAAGACACTCATTAAACAGCGTTCTCTTCTTGAGTTGCAGTTATCCTATGTCAGCTGAATATTCATTAAATCTGTTTCCACAGAAAATTGTTTCACTACTTCAGGTAACTAAAGTTTAGAAATGTGTCTTCCAGCAGCAGAAAATCTTGAATACTCGCTTTGATGTACAACAGCAGAATACTTTGGGTTATCTCCTGGCTTAAATTGTGGGGAGGGGGAAAGAAGGGAAGAGTGCAGT